AAGTACACACACACACAAGGGTAGACACTCACACACACAACACACAACACACACACACACACACACACACACACACACACACACACACACACACCCGCAACCTCAACTAGGTGAGTACACACACACACATGCACACACACACACACATACACACACACATACACACACACATACATAAACACATAGACACACACACACACAAACACACACCACACACACACATACACACACACACACACCACACAAAACACACACACACACACACACACACACACATACACACACACATACACACACACACATACATAAACACACACACATACATAAACACACACACACACACACACACACACACACACACACACACATACACACACACATACACACACACACACATACATAAACACATACACACACACAAACAAACACACACACACACACACACACACACACACACACACACACACACACACACACATGCATACACACACACACACACACACACACACACACACACACACACACACACACACACACACACAGGTCCTGTCAAACCCACATGGGGCCAAAACAAAGACAGGGAGCACACTAGGACAGAATGAGAGGTTGGAAGACATTGAAGGAACTAGGACATGTGCAGGGACCTTACCAGATACCTGTGGGGGCCAGGAACAGGTGAGCAGGAAGGACAAACCAAGAAGCATAGGGGCCATAACTAGGGAAAGGACTGAAGGAAGGAACACTCCACGGGAAGGAACTAAAACACATCAGAGGATGCAATGGGAGTCACAATGGGAGGTGGAAAGGGAGAGATCCGTGTTTGTCTATGGGCTAGACGAAGCTAAAGGGGAAACTTATGATGAAAGAAAGCAGGAGGAGAAAAAAGCGATTGAATATATCATGAAGGTGATAGGCGAGGGGGACATGACCCAGGTGGCAAATTTTCGGAGAATTGGGTGGTTCACAAAGAAAAGGAATCGGCCACTCCAAGTAATTTTCAAGGCAGAATCAACCCGAACCATGATCCTGCAGGAGAAAGCACGGCTGAGAGGCAAGCAGGAGTTCTGGAGTGTGTACCTCGATCGAGACAGAACACAGGACGAAAGGAAGACGATGAAAGAGAGAGTTCAAAAACGAAAGGAGAAATGGGAGGAAATGAAAAAGGAGAGCAGAATAACCCAGGATCAAATGGAAGGACAAGCACACCCCCCAGAAACACCTGCAGAAGGACTCCAGCTATGACACCCCCAAGGCAACTGAACAATCCAAACCAACCATCACACACCGATCCCTCTGTTTCCACCCCCCGCACCACAGTTACAGCATTAGAACAGAAGTTGAAGGTTTGGTACACAAATGCAGATGGATTAACGAATAAACATGAGGAATGGCAAGAAAGAATTAATGAGAAGTCCCCAGACATCATAGCAGTTACAGAAACAAAACTCACGGAGACAATAACAGATGCAATCTTCCCACCAGGATACCAGATCATGAGGAAAGATAGAAGGGGCAGGGGGGGAGGTGGGGTTGCTCTGCTCGTAAAAAAAACAGATGGAAATTCGAGAAAATGGAAGGCATAGATGAGACGGGAGAAAGAGACTACATAGCAGGTACAATTCAGTCTGGGGAACACAAAGTGGTCATTGCAGTGATGTATAATCCACCACAGAACTGCAGGAGGCCAAGAGAGGAATATGAAGAGAGCAACAGAGCAATGGTGAACACACTTGCTGAGGTGGCAAGAAGAGCTCACTCCAGCAGAGCAAAGTTGCTGGTTATGGGGGATTTCAACCACAGGGAGATTGACTGGGAAAACCTGGAGCCACATGGGGGTCCCGAAACATGGAGAGCCAGGATGTTGGACGTGGTGCTGGAAAACCTCATACACCAACATGTTAAGGACACTACCAGAGTGAGAGGGGAGTATGAACCAGCAAGATTAGACCTTGTGTTCACCCTGGGCAGCTCAGACATTGAGGACATTAAGTATGAGAGTCCCCTAGGAGCTAGCGACCACGTGGTTCTGTGCTTTGAATACATAGTAGAGCTGCAAGTGGAGAGAATAACAGGAGTTGAATGGGAAAAGCCTGACTATAAAAGAGGGGACTACATAGGGTTGAAGAACTTCCTGCGGGAGGTCCAGTGGGACAGAGAACTGGCAGGAAAGCCAGTAAATGAAATGATGGAATATGTAACAACAAAATGCAAGGAGGCAGTGGAAAGGTTTATTCCCAAGGGCAACAGTAACAATGGGAAGACCAGAACGAGCCCCTGGTTTACCCGACGGTGTAAGGAGGCAAAAACAAAGTGCAATAGAGAATGGAAAAAGTACAGAAGGCAGAGAACACACGAAAATAGGGAGATCAGTCGCAGAGCCAGGAATGAGTATGCACAGGTAAGGAGGGAGGCCCAGCGACAGTATGAAAATGACATAGCATCGAGAATCAAGACTGACCCGAAACTGTTGTATAGCCACATCAGGAGGAAGACAACAGTCAAAGACCAGGTGATCAGATTAAGGACAGAAGGTGGAGAACTCACAAGAAATGATCAGGAGGTATGTGAGCAGCTGAACAGGAGATTTAAGGAAGTGTTTACAGTAGAGACAGGAAGGGCTGTGGGAAGACAGCACAGAAGGGAACATCAAGAGGGAATATACCAACAAGTGTTGGATGACATACGAACAACTGAAGAGGAGGTGAAGAAGCTCCTAAGTGACCTTGACACCTCAAAGGCGATGGGACTGGACATCTCCCCATGGGTCCTTAGAGAAGGAGCAGAGATGCTGTGGTCCCTCTAACCACAATCTTCAACACGTCCCTTGAAACTGGGCAACTACCTGAGAAATGGAAGACAGCTAATGTAGTCCCCATATTTAAGAAAGGAAACAGAAACGAGGCACTAAACTACAGACCTGTGTCTCTGACATGTATTGTGTGCAAAGTCATGGAGAAGATTATCAGGAGGAGTGGTCGAACACCTGGAAAGGAACAAGATTATAAATGAAAACCAGCATGGGTTCATGGAAGGCAAATCTTGTATCACAAACCTCCTGGAGTTTTATGACAAGGTAACAGAAGACACGAGAGAGAGTGGGGTGGGTAGATTGCTTTTTCCTAGACTGCAGGAAGGCCTTTGACACAGTTCCCCACAAGAGATTAGTGCAGAAGCTGGAGGATCAAGTGCATGTAAAAGGGAGGGCACTGCAATGGATCAGGGAATACCTGACAGGGAGGCAGCAACGAGTCATGGTACGTGAAGTGGTATCAGAGTGGGCGCCTGTTACGAGCGGGGTCCAACAGGGGTCAGTTCTAGGACCAGTGCTATTTTTGATATATGTGAACGACATGATGGAAGGAATAGACTCTGAAGTGTCCGTTTGCAGATGATGTAAAGTTGATGAGAAGAATTAAATCGGACGAGGATGAGGCAGGACTGCAAAGAGACCTGGACAGGCTGGACATGTGGTCCAGTAACTGGCTTCTCGAATTCAATCCAGCCAAATGCAAAGTCATGAAGATTGGGGAGGGGCAAAGAAGACCGCAGACAGAGTATAGGCTAGGTGGACAAAGACTACAGACCTCACTCAGGGAGAAAGACCTTGGGGTGACCATAACACCGAGCACATCATCGGAGGCACACATCAACCAAATAACTGCTGCAGCATACGGGCGCCTGGCAAACCTGAAAATAGCGTTCTGATACCTTAATAAGGAATCGTTCAAGACACTGTACACTGTGTATGTTAGGCCCATACTGGAGTATGCAGCACCAGTCTGGAACCCACACCTGGTCAAGCACGTCAAGAAGTTAGAGAAAGTACAAAGGTTTGCAACAAGGCTAGTCCCAGAGCTCAAGGGAATGTCGTACGAGGAAAGGTTAAGGGAAATCGGACTGACGACACTGGAGGACAGAAGGGTCAGGGGAGACATGATAACGACATACAAGATACTGCGGGGAATAGACAAGGTGGACAGATATAGGATGTTCCAGAGAGGGGACACAGGGACAAGGGGTCACAACTGGAAGCTGAAGACTCAGACGAGTCACAGGGACGTTAGGTAGTATTTCTTCAGTCATAGAGTTGTCAGGAAGTGGAATAGCCTAGCAAGTGAAGTAGTGGAGGCAGGAATCATACATAGTTTTAAGAAGAGGTATGATACAGCTCAGGAAGCAGAGAGAGAGAGGACCTAGTAGCGATCAGTGAAGAGGCGGGGCCAGGAGCTGAGTCTCGACCCCTGCAACCACAATTAGGTGAGTACAATTAGGTGAGTACACACACACACATACACACACACACACACACACACACATACACACACACACACACACACACACATGCACACACACATACACACACACACACACACACACACACACACACACACACACACATACACACAGCCTAGAAAGTGAAGTAGTGGAGGCGGGAACCATACATAGTTTTAAGGCGAGGTATGATAAAGCTCATGGAGCAGGGAGAGAGAGAGGACCTAGTAGCAATCAGTGAAGAGGCGGGGCCAGGAGCTATGATTCAACCCCTGCAACCACAAATAGGTGAGTACAAATAGGTGAGTACACACACACACACACACACACACACACACACACACACACACACACACACAGAAACAAGGGGTCACAATTGGAAGTTGAAGACGACAGAAAACGGCGTGTTTGATCGGCAACGTGTGTCACCTAGAATAGTTTGTTCTATAACCCGTGTCACCTATAACAGCAGTGTATACAGCAACTAGTATACATTGCACACCACCACAAGTATACGTAGGTCACCAGTACGCAGTGTACAATGTTACCGGTAGACAGTACAATGTCACCAGTACACAGTGTACACTGTTACCAAGACACCCAGTATACACTGTTACCGGTACACAGTACAATGTCACCAGTAGTGTACACTGTGACCAGTACTATGTACACTACCAGTACCATGTACACCACCAGTACAGCGTATACCACCAGTACACACAACTCACCCAAAGTAGTAGAAGAGAAGCACACCAGCAGCAGTCAGGGCCAGGAGATAATAATGTGTAGGCTTAACTCCAGTCATCAGTGACATCCTGCAGCTGTTGACAGAAAAAAAAATAGATTCATGTGCATGTACGCTGGTATGTAGGCTTACACAAATTTGCAGCTATGTATGTAGTGGCATGCCTAGTAGGTCTTTATAAGTGTGCTAGTATGTATAAATACGTATTTAGGGATGTATGTGTATAGATATGTACACAAATAAGTTCAGTATGTAAGCAGGTATGCTCATGTATAGGTATATATATAATTATATACAGTATACTAGGCACTATCAAAAAGTTCCAGACTGGATTTTCGCATGATTACTGGGTGAAATACAACGGCGGCGTAGATCACGCTCTGCAATACATCCTTTTGTGAAGCAGTGTGGCGACTTTCAGTGCAGACGGTCATTCCGTTGAGGTTTGACAGGCATTTGTTGTCGTGTTAGTGCGTTATAGCGTTTTTTTTTTTTTGTGTGTGTGTGTGTAATAGAATGAAATCTTTAAAAGAAACAACGCATGCGAGCTTGTGTGTGTCTGTGTAAAGTTCTGTTTCAAACTCGGTAAAACGGCTAGCGACACCCACAAAATGTTTCAGAAAGCATTTAGTGGCGAAATAATCGGTCGGACACAGTGTTTTGAATGGTTTTCTTGATACAAAGCAGGATGAACTTCAGTTGAGGATGATGAACACACTGATCGTCCATCAACGTCAAAAACAGACACGAACACTAAAAAAAAGCGAGGAAGGCTATTCACGAGGATCGTTGTCAAAGCATCCAGGATACTGCAAAAGCTGTGGGAGTTTATGGATCCTGTCAAGGCATTTTGACTGAAAATTTGAACATGCGGTGAGTTGTTGCAAAAACTTACCCCATATTACCCTAACTCCAATAAGCAATAAATGATATGCCCAAGCACTCTGCCCAGGCCCAGACTCATGGAACTCCGTGTTCACCAAGAAGCCCCTATCTCGTGCCTTCAGCACTTTATGGAGAGGGAGCATGGACACAGGGGTCATCCTACACACACTAAAAACAACAGACATAGCCCACTCCACAAATGCGGCAGTAAAGCAATTACAAAGAACTACAGATCGATAGCACTAACATCCCATATCATAAAAATCTTTGAGAGAGTTCTAAGAAGCAAGATCGCCAACCACCTAGATACCCATCAGTTACACAACCCAGGGCAACACGGGTTTAGAGCAGGTCGTTCCTGCCTGTCCCAGCTACTGGACCACTATGACAATGTCCTGGATGCTGCAGAGGATAAACAAAATACAGATGTATACACAGACTTTGCAAAATCTTTCGACAAGTGTGACCATGGTGTAATAGCGTGATAAAGGACTAACAGGAAAAGTTGGTAGATGGATGTATAACTTCCTGACAAATAGAACACAAAGAGTAATAGTAAACAGAATAAGGTCCCAGGTAGCCACGGTTAAAAGCTCTGTTCCACAAGGCACAGTACTCACTCCCATTTTATTCCTCATCCTCATTTCTGACATAGACAGAGATGTAAGCCATGGCTCCGTGTCTTCCTTTGCGGATGACACCCGGATTACCATGGCAGTGACCTCCATCGAAGACACCGTGAGACTCCAAACGGACATCAACTAAATCTTCGAATAGGCCACTGAAAACAATATGAAGTTCAACAAGAAATTTCAACTACTCAGATATAGGAAGCTCGAGGAAATTAAAAATGTATCAGGGTATACAAATTCTAACCATACAATAGAGCGTAAAAGTAATGTGAAGGACTTGGGAGTGATAATGTCAGAGGATCTCGCCTTCAAAGACCACAACAATGTATCTACCTCATCTGATAGGAAAATGATAGGATGGATAATGAGAACCCTCAAAACTAGGGATGCCAAGCCCATGATGATTCTCTTCAAATCGCTTGTTCTCTCTAGGCTAGAATACTGCTGTGCACTAACGGCCCTTTTCAAGGCTGGCGACATTGCAGACCTGGAGAGTGTACAAATAACTTTCACGGCACCTAAATTACTGGGAACGGTTGAAGGTCCTTGATCTGTATTCCCTGGAATGCAAGCGAGAGAGATACATGATAATGTACACTTGGAAGGTCCTGGAGGGATTATTTTTTTGCGGCATTCCATTAAATTTTTGAGAGCACCTCCTATATATAAACACAGATATGTACGTATGCAGGTATGCATGTGTATGAACATATGTGAATATGTGTATAGACGTGCATAAACTTGTACTTGAATATACATATGCACGTGTGTTGTGGATAAGTATGCGTTAGATAACGATCCACTTAATTATACCAGCAAAACACAACTCGCAATAAGGGTTAAAAGAAGTCTGTATCCAAGCTATCACCCAGTAACAAGGGGTAGGTACACTTACCAAAACACATGTTCCAGTTTCCGCCCATAGATAGCTAACCACTAGGACCTGTGAGAATACAAGCCTAGGTGCTCTGATGAACCAACAATAGTTTTGTACCAAAAGAACTAAATATATTTTAGATAAGTTTACAATAATTTAATAATAAACAAATACAATGAAATATATTTTTTTCGTTAGGTTCACAATAATTTTTGCGAAATTACTGCACACGCAAATTTTCGCGTGCCTTATACGGCAAGAAAAGCGTTGCTATTTAAGCCAAAATAGCAAGGTTTCCTTATTCGGCACGATATATATATATATATATATATAATATATATATATATATATATATATATATATATATATATATATATATATATATATATATATATATATATATATATATATACATATATATACATACATATACATGAGCGAATGCCTCACTAGTGACGGGTCATCATCCGCTTAATACTTACGTCACAAGGCACTGCTGTTTTCTGACACGTGAACAAGAGTGAAGCAAACACACTTGGCACAACGGTGTGACACTAACAGATGTGATTCACTAAGTAGTTAACAAACAACACATCTCATAGATATTAATCTTAATTTTCACCAGTGATTTTTTTATACCGTTGAATTTACAGGCTAAAGGTTGAAGAACTGTTATCCCCTCTTTCCCATCCTACCAGGCACCTATTTTACAGCTGAGTAAACGGAGGCAGCAAGTGTAGGGAGAGTCGTCCCTGTTTCTACCTGTTTTTTAATTGAACGCACGACAATGGGCTGTGAGCCGAAGACTCTGCCACTTCTTATACAGGCTTCGTTTACGAAGCCTGTATAAGAAAAAAGTTTTGTGTTGCCAGCAAAATGTGAAGGAAATGACAGTAACTAGTGAATTACGTGTACAGGTGGAGACACTTGTGTGAACCACGTGTTGTCTGCACGTGTGCTGGTGGAGAGACCTGTGTGAACCACGTGTTGTCTGCACGTGTGCTGGTGGAGAGACCTGTGTGAACCACGTGTTGTCTGCACGTGTGCTGGTGGAGAGACCTGTGTGAACCACGTGTTGTCTGCACGTGTGCTGGTGGAGAGACCTGTGTGAACCACGTGTTGTCTGCACGTGTGCTGGTGGAGACACTTGTGTGAACAACGTGTTGTCTGCACGTGTGCTGGTGGAGAGACCTGTGTGAACCACGTGTTGTCTGCACGTGTGCTGGTGGAGAGACCTGTGTGAACCACGTGTTGTCTGCACGTGTGCTGGTGGAGAGACCTGTGTGAACCACGTGTTCTCTGCACGTGTGCTGGTGGAGAGACCTGTGTGAACCACGTGTTGTCTGCACGTGTGCTGGTGGAGACACTTGTGTGAACCACGTGTTCTCTGCACGTGTGCTGGTGGAGACACTTGTGTGAACCACGTGTTGTCTGCACGTGTGCTGGTGGAGAGACCTGTGTGAACCACGTGTTCTCTACTGCAGACTGTGACCTGTGTGTGTGAGACCTGTGAACCACGTGTTCTCTGCACGTGTGCTGGTGGAGAGACCTGTGTGAACCACGTGTTGATAATCTACACTATGACCTGAGGTTTTTCAATGATCACACTGACCTGAGAGTTGAGAAACCAGCAAGGACCCGAACAACGAATAACAGATTTTTGAAGAGGGTCTCCGACCGAGGTTTTTTTTTTATAGGCCAATATTACCCACACAGTTATACAGGGAAGCACTAAACCCGTAAAAGTCTTAGAACTCCTATCGAATGGGAAGTTATCAGGTTCAATGGAGGATAGCTCCAGTTCCCTGGATAACGAGCCCTCACCGCCATCAAGAAACCCTCTCTCCCATCAAGGATTATTATTGTAATCACGGGGGAACTCTAAACCCGTAGGATTATACAGCGCCTGTGGGGGTGGGGGGATGGAAGGTATTCAGGCTTAATTCAAGGAACTGGAGCACAGATCCAATTCCCAAGATCAAGAGCCCCTCACCAGCGTCAAGAAACCTCCCTTGAAGGGCCCCATGAAGGAACTGCAATATAGGCAAAACCGCCCTATAATATTTTGAGGGGAAAACCTTAGTGTTGATGTATAATTATAAGAGTTGTACTCAATATTATATCACACCACTAGCCATTCTCGCTGTCCACTTATAAAAATAACCCGGCTACAGGTCTCTCAAGGCTGTCTCCACCTTCTCTCAAGACAAATCGATTCTTAACAAGGAAGTTTTAATATTTACTGAGCCCTGGGACCAATAGTCAAGCAGTGCTCTTCAGGTAAAGGTTACGTCAGCACAACCATGCATACCACACAGTCACGAAGACCAGACAATCATGCATGCTATACAATCATATACTTGTGGCCTATATCGAGAGTCTTCCCACTCTCGCAGTCCAGTTTGAGGGAATTCTCTTCTGTTCATTGCTTTATCAACAAGGCTGTTGGTGTTGGCGGCCTGCTGACTCACATATTCATTACAGCTTTGTTGATCTGGCGCTTGGAAGAGGTAGTAATCCAGTTTCCTCTTGACAACCTCTACACTTGTTCTGGCAGTCTTGGATTTCTGTTGGCAACAGCTTGAATAGCCTAGGTCCACGAATGTTAGTGTTTATTGAGTCAATAGTGTCCGGCTTCTCACTGGGTTTATTTTACACTTCCTACCTTATATCTCACTCCAA